ATCAATTGCCTGTTTTATTTCTTTCCATGTCTTTCCCTAGGGTATTATTTATTTCTCCAAAAGTTTTTCCCTATTTTGTTATTTATTCATCTTCAAGATTTTCTCTATTTTATTATTTATCCTTGTTCATGCCTTTCTTTATTTCATTATTTATACATGTTCATGCTTTTACCTATTTCATTATTTATTACTCTTCATATCTTTCCCTAAGGTAATATTTATTCCTGTTCATGCCTTTCCATAGGGCATTATTTATTTATCTTCAAATCTTTCCCTAGGGTATTATTTATTCCTTTTTTATGCTTTTCCCTATTTTATTATTTATTATTCTTCATGACTTTCCTTAGGTATTATTTATTCCTGTTCATGCCTTTATGTATTCTATTATTTATTTATCTTAAAATCTTTCCCTAGGGTATTATTTATTCATATCTATGCCTTTCCTTATTTTATTATGTATTCCTCTTAGTACTTTTCCCTAGGATATTTGTGACTATGAAAAAGAAAACTAAGTAATACCTTAAAAAGGAATTCATGTTCTCTATGCTATGTGTTGAAAAAGAAAATCTGAATCAAGATCTGCTCAACTTTAGTAGGCCTTGAATTATGGCAATTCCTTAGTTCCACCAGTTCTAACTTTCATGGCTAAGACCCATCATACCATGCACATCATAGTGAACAACCCTAATTCTCTTCATATTCAATTGCTGAGATATAAGCTCCAATTGAGCAGCTTCTTCCCACAACCGCTACATTGTGGAACCAACTCCCAAGAGGATGCTTCCCAAATCGCTACAATCTTAACCTGTTCAAGTCTCTGGTCAACTGTTATCTTCCCCATATACCCCCATAAATTGGGCTTTTTACTCTGTAAGCCTCTACCTCTAATTAAGTTACTCTTTTGGATTAATTTAAGCCAAGTTAAGTTACTCTTATGGATTAATTTTTAACTTCCAGGTTCCAAACATCTGGCCAGCCTTACAAGCAAATAACCACTGACTTTATATTCATCAGCCTCAGGCAATATCACAGAATCCACATATCCTACCACAGTTAATTGTGAAGTTCATAATCTTTTCCATGGCTGTATAGTATGTGCTTTACAGTTTTGTATACAATGTTGTCCTTCTCCTAGACTGGTTGCCAACCACAGTTGGGGAACCAAGATTCAGTTCAACAGATAAATATACATAATCAAATATTATTTTCAAATTAACCTCTCCATTAAATGAGTTACATTCAGAATGTATAACACTATTCATGTCAAGTTTTATGAAGGAATAAAATCTTGAGTTTCTCATGCTATCCTCTACCTTTACAAGAACCAGGTCCACCTTAAAATAGAGGACTGTTTTCATATTTGGGCAGGCACTGTCCAGAACTCATTTTCCAGGCTCAACAGAGTCTAAAAGCATCTCAGAGTCTTTGTGGGTGACAAATTATTTCCCATCCTCCAACCTCTCTCCCACAGGTGGGATGTGACATGTCTCTCATTGTTCTATCACTATTTCCATGGAAGATGCTCAGACAAATTGGTTTCGCCAATTCTAACACCCACCCACCATGTCACTCACGTTGTAGCAAACCACCCACATTCCTTCCATATTCCATCACTCAAACAGCTTCTTCCCATGAACCACTGCTCTGCTGAACCGTCTCCCAAGAGGATGTTTCCCAGATCACTACAATCTTAACCTGTTCAAATCTAGGGTTAACACTTATCTTCCCCTCCTATCTGCATAAACTTACTGTAACCTTCTACCCCAAGTGGTCCCTGGCCTTCTATAGAATGAACCTCACTGTAAAAATATAAACAATCCATATTTATTATCTCCCTTTTTAAGAATGAGAGAGCCCAATAAAACTTGATGAGATTTGAAGAAAACTTAAAAATTGCTTATCAACAAAAGATTAATAATAAACAAAATTTGGAAGCTGTTGAAAAAAGGAGCAAAACAGAGATTGTTTACTTAATACAATATTATGAATAACTTAATACATTAAATAAAATTACAAAATAAATGCAGCTCACCAAATAATATTATAATTGGAAAGATGAATGTAAACAATTCTTAATGAAATTGTGATATTACATCCTATTATTTCTGTTTAACTAAAGGAAAAAAGTGTATAAATGGTTGGTTGATGAATTGCAGAACTTGTTTTGGAGAGTTAAGTTAAGAGTCGTCATGGGTGGCACACAGACACAGGCGCTGCACTTCAAATAGCCATAAGTTTTTTTTTTTGTTTGTCAGGTTCAAATCAAGTGGTGTTTAGTTTTACTAAGAACAGTTCATTACAACCTCCCTGATATTTGGCAAGTAAAAGGGCTAAAAATAGTATATATAACAGCTACCTAAACATATAGAGCTAAGTATTTATAAGCATAATGTGATATTCATCAAGGCTAAATGTTTTCGGAAATTTGTATTCAGTCATTGTGGAGGCACAGTAGAGTAATGGCTAACTGCTTGGATTGAGGAATTGGAGAGTCGAGTTCAAATTCCAGTCAAGTTACATTCACTTATGTGCTAATAATCTTATATGAATCTTCTCCCCCATGGGTAAATAACAAGACAGACAGACTTGGGTGGTAACCAACCTAGAAGAAAAAACTGAATTCAAATCCAACCACATGCTGCCTTGTAGGTCATGCCTCTTTAGGCAAAGGCTAGAAGAAGGTAACTTCAAAAACAAATCCACCTCATATTGTCTTGAAGAAAGAATCTACTCTTGAGTTACAACAGAAAATAATGGAACCCTTGGACTTAGTACAATGGTTCAGACAATGACAAAACTGGGTCATGGCACGGTGCAATGGAGCTCTCTGATTTCGGACCATTCACTCATGGGTTCATTACCTACAACACTTTAAACATTGACAATTCAATCATCAGAATCATTAGTGGTAATTTGCTTGAAAACTGACCTTAAATGATAGAAAAAAGCAATCAAAAGATAGAAGTTATAAAATTTAATTTCAAGTGTTATGCTGCCTTTTCTCAATAATGAAATTTAATCCAGGAAAGTTTCATTTAAAATCAAAATAAATTTAGACCACATCACACAAATGATTGAATAATATGTTGTGCTGTAAATAGAAAAGGTGGACACACATATAGAAAATAAGAAGTAGTTTATTCCAGAGAATAATATGGTACATGGTTGAGAACACAGATTAATATAATAAACAGTTAATTGTTAACTTGCTTAGTAAGAGAGAGTGCTGTTTAAATAGTCTTAGACTAGTCTATCTTGTGGGGTGCTCAGCTACTCCACAACACAATGGCTTTGGATGATACATAATTTTTTCCACAGTGGCTGCAGGAGAAGGTATGGCAACTGTAAAGAGCTCCAATTTTGTGGCATTTCTTCCTTACTTTTGCTCTAGCTGTACTGATTGTGAAGTTGCCTTCAAGGCCTTATGTCACCTTGTCAGTAGCTTCTGTTGCCCATAGCTGTTCATCAGTTCCACAACAAATAAAGAAATGTGTTGTAATATTGTCTTTTTTTAATATAGCCCAGAATTAGGAAGGCTGTAGTTAGAGAGAGTATAGACAGAACAGAAGATTAGGAAAAGAAAACAAAGAGGAGGTTTATTAAATATTCATACATAGAACAGAATAACTTGAGTAAATCAGATACTACTCATATCCTCCTTTAATGTGGCTACTTGCCTGATTTTTAAGCAGGAGCAGTTCATTGTCACAGTAGTAGAGAAGAGCAGGAAGTATGTTGAGTCCTACTCTACAACAAATAAAGTTTTTTTAAGGAGTCCTAATATGTCTTCTGTGATGTTCCTCTGCTTCCAGTTTGCTGAACAGGAGGATCTTTGGAAGCAGATAACCTTCCATTCTTGTCACATGGCTTGCCCAGCACAGATGAGAAATTTACACTATTCTTCAAAGCTTCTGATGTTGGTAATCTTGAAATTTTTTTTTTTGTGGTTGAAGTCAGTCATGTGCACATTGAGAATGATGTGGATGCACTGCTGATAATAGCATCTGAAGAGGCAGAGATAGCCCTAAGAATCTGTAACTTTCAATTCTTGCCTGAAGAAGAGAAATACATTGAAAATATTTCAGACTCCACAATATCCAAAATATTTCCTGGACAATGCTAAAAACAAAGCCTACAAAATCCACAGAAGAAAAATACAAAAATCCACAAAATAATAATAATCCCAACAACTATAACAAAAGCAAGCATATAATACTACCTACCAACAGCCATCATCAAAAATAACTTATCCAACCTTAAGCTAAAATTCATCCACACCTTCTCTAAAACAATAAGAGACATAGCACTAAATGAGATAACAGCAACAACAACAGGACAGAGGCAGAAATATGCAAAATAGATTGTACAAAAATGCCCTGTGGTGTACATCAGCAAAACATCTAGAAACCAAAAAAGAAGACTATAGCAAAGATATGCTGCATAATAACACTTTAAATGCACTATAACAAATCTAGCCAGAGTGATAAATGCCAGTCTGATCAAGAGAGAAAAAAGATTCACAAAAAAGAAAATACATTGAAAGTGTGCTGTTCTCACAATTCTTGACAATAAATCCAAGACATGATTCATACATAATATCAATGATCAGTGCGAAAGCAATAACAGAAAAAGAAAAACATAGATTTACTCAGAGTAGGCTGATTTAAAATCCAACAGCTACCAATAGCTCTAATATACAGGGAGTTTGTAAAGTTACTGTGCACTTTTCTAATCATATTTTTTATATTTCAGATTTCACTGTTTTAACAACTGGAGAATGTGTACTTTTTGTCAAACATTTATTTCGAGAAGATAGTAGATCCACAAATTTGATACAACAGCATTTTACTGATAAATTTTCCGATACACCTGCTCCACATCGCAATGTAGCTCGTAACCTTGTTGATAAATCTTGGGAAACAGGATCAGTGGACAATAACAAATGTTGTAGAAGGCTAGCATACCTATTGGAGAAGAAACTGTTGGATATTTCTGACAGTATGCAGCAGAGTCCAAGAAAATCCTTACAAAAGTTAGTTCAGCAGCAAGATCTTAGTATTGGATCTGTTCATAAGACCATCAGACAAAAATGAAAACTCTTCCCATAGAAAACTAATAGTGGTGCTCAGAAACAAAATAAGATGGGTCAAAGTCTATATTGATGCTAATGGTGGTCACTTTCTACTTTTCTATTCTCCTCCTGTATTGAAACATGTCAGCTAATAAAAATATAAGTGCAAAGTGACTTTCTATACAACCTGTATATATATATAAAAAAAACAAACATTTTTGTGTTTCTGGCCATCAGATCTGATGAAGTAATTTAATTTATTGTGCCTCTTATCCTCAAAAACATTTTCTTTACACACAGTTTTGTCTTTCTGTTATGGTCCAATATCCTCGCACCACAGTTATGGTCCAAGGTTAGAACCAAGGAAGAACAATATGAACACAAAAGTAGAATAACAAAGATATATTACAACAGAAATATAGTACAAGAAGTTGTAGTTGTTAGTAATGACTGTCCATCTGGTTTAGAGTGAACTAATATTGTCTCGATTCGTTACACCATTCATTCGGTATCTAGTCATCCCTCCACGAGGGTTGCATGTGGCACAAGGCCGAGTTTAACATGGATTTCCCGAGCCCATACGCTCAGCCAAAAATATACCCTTTGAATGCCTAGACAGGTTTAGGGCCTGTCTACCTCCCCGGACGAAACCTTGCCCTTTGGCAAAGCTTCGTTCGGGTTCCTCTCTGCCAAAGCAGAGAGTTCAACAGTCATGACCTGGTGCTTGTTACACCATTCATTCATTATACCTCTTGAGAGGCACAGTATTTATAGTGTCAGGAAGAGTCCATTATTGTTATAGGTAAGTTCCCATAACACTTTCATTCCATTATGAAGAAGGCGAATCCAATACAAGTCACATCACTGAAATTTGTCATCTATAAGCTTTTCCATTTTGTTTCATTTCATATATATATATATATATATATATATATATATATAAAAAGAGAAATATCAGTATTCATGCATCTCCAAGGACATCTGAATAAAATAAATGTCAGGGTAGATTTAGGCTAATTATCATCATCTTATCTATTAAATCAATGCAGCCCAATTTTGCGAAATCTTTATGTTAGGAAACTTAGTACATAGCTTGTTTAAAATACTTAGGCAAAATCAGTCCAGGTATTTCAGAAAAGAATCACATGCAAATGCATGGGCAACACACACACGCACAAACTTGCATACATGCATATACAGACACATACACTTAATCTTTCAATTCACATAAATTATTTTTCATAATATAATTGTAATTAGAGTTATTCAAAGCAAACTTTTTTTTCTTTTAACAGATGTTATTCGCACAGGAGTTTACCAAAGACTCTTCCATCCAGATTCTCTCTTGACAGGAATTGAAGATGCTGCCAACAATTTCGCTCGAGGATACATTACAATGGCTTGGCAGGTGTTAAATTCTGTTACAGACATAGTTGAAAAATTAGCTGAGAACTGTGATGGCCTACAAGGTGAATATATGCTGAAGTTCTCTTTATAAAATCCAGGTTATTACTATCATTATTATTATTGGCCATGATGAATACAGTTAAATTCAATGACAGAAAATTTTGAATAGATTCAAAAAGAAATGTTTAGATTCTTATTTTTTGTCAAGATTAATAAAGTTGAAATATGATTTTCCTTTGCAGATTGATTTTCATTTGTGTAAATCTAATATATCAGTCATTTTTACATTGGTATCAAGCAGCCATCACTGATAATGGATAAAGCAGCTACAGGATATTTTTTGTCAGAATTCCATGGGGAGAAAGATTTATATGTAAACAGGAGCTCTCTCTCCTATGCAGACGCATACATGCATATATATATATATATATATATATATATATGAAAAATTTCTCAGAGTTAACCTGTAGAAAAAGACATGTATAAAGGTAAAAGACAATAGGAATTTGGTTTTTGCCTTGAAAACGTCCACATTGGAACAAAACACATTGGTTAATAATACTGTTTTCTTATTGTCTTTTACTTTTATACATACATATACATATACATTTACCCACCTGAACACTGAATACTGTTTATTATAAACAGAGCATTTACTTAAATATTTGTGTATATATAAATAACGTATAAGAATAATGTAATATGGAGCTCTCGACCCATGAGTGCCACTACTGGTGGTAGACCATTCCTCATGACTTCATTTGGTGTTAATCAGTAAGAAAGGAGGAAAGTGTACAGTGTCTCCACTGTTGTTGCTCCCTCTCCCTTTGCTTTAAGTAGAGCATATTTGAACATGTCCACAAAGCGATCAGCTTGACCTTTGGATTGTGGGTGATAAGTTGGTGCCCGGATGTGTGTAAAAAGCATGAGATGCAAAAGTGATGGAACAACTCCAATGTAAATTGTGACCTATTGTCTGAGACCAGTGTCTCAGGTAGCCCATGTTGACTAAATAGTCGTCTGAGGATTATAATTGTTTAATGAGTGTCTGTCTGTTGCATTGGAAATATTTCTGGCCATTTGGAATGGGTATCTACAGCTAGCAGAAAACTAAGGCCTTTGATAGGGCCAGCAAAATCAATGTGCACATAAGACCAAGGTTGCTCTGGGTATGTCCAGTGTGAGATTTTTCTGTGCTTCCATGCATTGGAAGCAACTTTTGACAGCATGTTCTATGTGTTTGTCTATGTTAGGTCAGTAGACCACACTGTGAGCTATGGCTTTCATCTGGTTAATGCCTGGGTGTCCTGAATGTAGTTGTTTCAGAACTGCCTGTCTGAGCTTAGTGGGAACAACAGCATGATTTGCTAACATTAGACAATCATCAATTACCAATAGAGAGTCACTGTGATACTGAAACTGTTGATGGACTCCTATGGTGTTAGGAGGCCATGAATGCCTTAGAAACTTGACAACTTTTTGTATGATTGAGTCTTGTTGTGTTTCCCATTTTATGTCAGCACTTGTCACAGGAATTGTTCTGATGCAATCAATGAGCATGCATTTGAAATCGTCTTCAACACTGATGGCAGTAATGATGGTATCATCATCAGGTGCTGTTTGTGTACTGATGAGGCATCAGCTTGACCAAATTTCATTGTCTTGCAGTACTGAATGTTAAAATTGTACCCCAATAATATGGTCACCCACAGCTAGCTGAGTATAGAGGGATAGCTTTTTTTTAGCCAAATATAGAAAGTAATGGCTTGTAGTTCACCAGAAGTGTGAAAGAACATCCAAATAGCATCTTATGGAATTTCTTTACTGCAAAAATTAGTGCAAGAGCTTCCTTTTCCACCTTGCTGCAATTATTTTCAGCAGTTTTCAGGGAGCTAGCTGCATGCAAGATGGCTTTCTGTCTATGAATATGTGTGAGATCACTGTTCCCACACCATGACTTGAAACATCAGCTGCCACCACAATCTTCCATGCTGGGTTGAAATGTGTCATTAGTAGGTCTGAGTTTAACAATGAATTGATTTTGTCAAAAGATTGTTGGAAGTCTCTGGGTAAGGACCATTTGTTGTCACTAATAGTCTGTTGAGTGGTGACTTAATTTGGTGAAGTGAAGGTAGGAAACTACCATAGTGACTCACCAATCCGATAAATGAGAATAAACTGTTGACATCTGTTGGGGGTGGCATTCATTGAATATCTGCAACATTTTCAGGATTTGGATGACAACCTTCTTTGTTAAATATAAAGCCCAGGTAAGTAAAACTGGCACTTTTCCAGTTGAAGTTAGAAACCAAAGTCCTGAATACATGTCAGGACATTACTGACCTGTTAATTCATTACTTGATTGACTGACAACTATGATATCGTCTATGTATGCAGCTGTATCATCTACTGCTGTTAACATAGTATCCATGATCTGCAGGAATATGGCTGGGGCTGTTTTTATTACAGAAGGGAGCCTCATAAATTGGAATAATTCATGATGCATGTTAATGGTAAGCAGTTCTATGGCAGCTTTAGAAACTTCCACCTGCAAACAGGCCTCTGTGGAATCTAGTTTTGCAAAGCAGGTTCCACCATTGAGTATGATGAAGAGATCATCTGGGACCTGTAATGGGTATTGGTGGTCCTCAAGTGCTGTGTTAAGCGCAGTTGAAATATCAGCACACAACCAAATTGAGCCATTGGCTTTTTTAACCACTACAATGGATGCTGCCCACTGTGAATATACTACAAGTGTAATAACTTTCATTTCTTCCAAACATTTTAATTCCTTGTCTACCAATGGCAAGGTAACATATGGTACTGGTTGTTTGCATTGGAAGATAGATTTAGTGGATAGTTTGAGGGAGAATGTCGCTTCTGTCTGAGTACAGCATCACAAGTCATTTTTGAAAACTGCAGAAAATTTACTGATTATCTGTTTGGTCAGGTCAATAATGGTGCCCTGAGATAAAGGTCTGGATACTACATTGCACACAGAATTGAGTGGAGTGTCCAGAAGACCCAGTGACTCAATAAAATCAAGTCCCAGTAGGTTGTGACTAGAGTCTGAAACATAAATAATTCCAGACACTGTTTTGCTCTTGAGTGTGATGGCTGATGGTATGGACGCAATCTCCCAACACACTTTGTGTTACATGATTGGTTGATATTAGTGAAGGCTGGTCTATGGTTTTCCATAGTGTTTGAGATATGAGTATTATGTCCGAAGTTGTGTCAATTTGTAAACGAACAGGACAGCCATTCAGTTCTACTGCCACATATTTGTGGTTTGACTTAGAGTTTGGGAGAAAATTTGCAACAAAGCTGTTGGTGTGTGTTTTCCTACATTGGCTGTATTTGTTATGTGGGTGTTGTGTGTTGGTTTGCACCATGATGGGGGTGAAGAATCCCTCTTTGTGTCTTATTTGGTTACATTCCCAATAGCGATGTAACTTGAATAGACAATACTGAACAAAATGCCAGCTACCACAATTCCAGCAAGTAGATGGAGGTTTCTTGTCTGTCAAACCTGCTGGTGTGGTACAGCATTGTCTTTGAACAGTGTTGACTGCAGTAGTTGTTGAAGGTAGTGACTGTTGTATCATAGTCGAACAATGTTTAAGAGTCACTGGTCATTGACACTCCACTGAAACTTGCTGCAGAGTAATGTCATGGTTTTGTTCAATTTGGGATAGAATCCTTGTGAGAATGTCTGCATCACATGCCAATCTCAAACCACATACAAAGATTAAACACTTAAAGTGTGCATTGGTGATTAAGAGAATTTTAAATCTCTCACATTCTTTGTAGCAAAATTGAGTCACACTTCGTAATATTAAGGCAATTAAACTGCATATTAAAAAGAGAAGTTTGCTCACCAAATATCTGACTTAGTGTCTCAACTCTTTTATTGAAATTGTTGTTGCGTTTGTGCTTTGGTAAAATGTACTTTGCATAGTAGTCATGTTTAGAAGGTCCAAGTTTCCATAAAAGGAGCCTAACTTTCCAATCATCTACCTGTTCCCTAAATTCCACCCAGAAAAGATCCTTGAATTGTGCAAACCATGTGCAGAAAGTCTGTTTATCAGCAGGGTTATAGTGAAACTCCATGATTGAACGTGGCACCGCCTCCATTGATGTAGTTATTTTTGTTTCTGAAGGTACTGATGTGGATGTAATTCCATCAAGTGTAGCTGTAAGAGTTGCTGAATTGTTGAATCCATCCTTGTGTGTGTGTCTACATTGTTCAGACGTACCGTGTCGCTAATTTTGTTATGTTCCCATGGGGTGAAATGTGGTTACATGAAGAAAGATAAAAAGATGAAAAAGAGGATAAACTATTAACAAAACTTTATTAATTGAAATATAATTTGAATGGTGAGTGGAGCTGCTGGATGTGTAATAATAAGATGTGGGCCTTGGTGATCTGTCTAGCTCACCTTGATGTCATAGCTGAACTCCTTGTACCCAGAATGCCCTGTCCTTCCATAAAGGTGTGTGACAAAACCTCTATTTTTCATCCCTCCAGTCAAAGGGGGATAAATTTTCTTAAATATTTTTGTTAGGCCAACTGTGCTCTAAGAGTAAGTGAGGTAGTGAGGGCAACACAGCGAAGTCTTTTCTCTGTTCCTTAAACCATTGTATGGCATTGCAACAGTCTTTTACAGTGGGTGCTACAGTCACTGGAGAAGACTCTTGCAATGAAGTAATTGTACAAGTCATCAATGATGCTGAAGTAAGTGGTATACAACAAAGTGCCTTCCACATAAATAATAGGACCTGATGTTTCCTAACAGAATCTTACTTATTATAAAACGCAGTTTGTGTGTGTGTGTGTGTGTCTGTACGTTTATATATTGGATCGGATTTCCTACATTTTTTAAACGATTTCAACAAAACTTCACAGGACTACATAAAATTACCTTGCGGTGGTTCTGACAGCGCCAAAAATTGGAAAAACACAATTGTTTTTGCATGAAATCAATTTGAAAACATGATTAAGAGGCATCACGAGAATGAAATGGGGACAACTCATATCGAGTTATACTTATTATAAAACCCAGGTTGTTTGCATGTGTGTGTGTTCATTTATATATGGGATCGGATTTCCTACATTTTTCAACCAATTTCAACAAAACTTCACTTTTTTTTTGGCAGGTAGTGTTTCTTATTGTCTTGCACACTTTTTTCTTTATTTTTACATTCAGAATGCTTTAAAATTTCCATTTACAAGACAATTGTTTATAATAAAATTCTATTCAATTGGTAGACTCATAACGATTGAAAACAATGTTTTTGTTTGAGTTTGACCAATTCGTAAAAAAAAAAAAAAAAAAAAAACTAATTAAGACATGCGTGTCCGTCAACCTTAAACAATAATCTTTGTCAATTTTATTTTTCAGTCTTTATTATGGTCGATACTTGATCTATCTCTTACTGTTACATCCCCGGGCAACGCCAGGCTCTACTGCTAGTTTATTATACAAGCTTGCTTTTTATGTACATCCTGGTGCCATTGCTTCCTCAAGTTAATGATGTACATCCCACTGTTCATCTTATTTAGGAGAAAGCATTGAACCAAGGGACTTCATTGCTACAACATTCAGTCCCAACATTGACACAGAGGAACCTTCATTGATTCAATCCCAATATTGAACCAGGGGTTCTTTCATTGATACAATATTCAGTCCCAACATTAAACCAGGGGTTCTTTCATTGATACAAGATTCATACCCAACATTGGACCAGGAGATCTTTAATTTATATAAAATTCATTCCCCAGAACCTGGGGACACCTTCCCATTGAAACAGGGTAACCTTTAAAATATTCACACCAAACATTGATCCAGGAAATCTTTCACTGATACAAGATTCAATTTCTGAACTAGGTGAAACCTTCCCATTAAACCAGGGGAACCTTCATTGATACAAGATCCCATTCTAACATTGAACAGGTCATCTTTCATTGATACACAATCCAGTCCCAACATTGAACCAAGGGATCTTTCATTGATACAAGATCCAGTCCCAACATTGAAACAGGGGAACTTTCATTGATATATTGTTCAGTCCCAACATTCATGCAGCCATTGGAAACATTTTTCAACAGTTAGCATTGGTTAGCATGGGTGTTTTGACTGACCTTCACCTACACAGTCCAAGATGCAAATGACTGATGTACTCTGACTTAAGACCCATTTTTTCCTTCATCTTGATTAATGCTATTTGCATCACAGGAGCCCTTCTGTTGGCATTGCAATTGGTTCTTATCTCCTGTTGATAGCTGGTAATTTCACTCTTTTGACCAATGTTATTAAGCACTGGCAACAACTGAATGTGAGCACTCTGCAAAAGCAATGATGTTTCAGAAATTCTCTGACCTGGTTTCCCTAAAAAGTACCTAACACTTCTCTCTACTATTGCAGCTTTTAAATTTTGGATTGTAAATATCTTTTTTTCTCGTTAGCTCTTAAAAGTATAAACTGTGAACCCTGTTTATTTATTGTAAGTTGGAGGCTCCTATGAACAGGTTTATATTTAAGTTGGCTAAATGCTGATTTGTCCTTAAAAGTACTTGACACTTCTCTCTAACATTGGAACTTTTAAGTTTTGGATTTTAAATCTAAATCTTTAATATCTTTTTTACTGGTTAGCTCTTAAAAGTATAAATTGTGAATCCTGCTTTTGCATGAAATATAGTTATTTTTATATAAAATGACTATAAAGTTTCTTTCTTTTTTTATTTGCAGGTTTTAATATTTCGCATAGTTTCGGTGGTGGAACTGGATCAGGATTTACGGCTCTTCTCATGCAAATTTTGAGTGAACATTTTCCCAAAAAAACAAAAATTGATTTCGTTATTTACCCTTCTCCCAAAATGTCTAGCAGCATGGTCGAGCCTTACAACTCATTGCTCACCACACATCTCACACTTGAAGACATGGACTGTAGCTTTATGTTTGACAATGAAGCTATCTATCGAATATGTCAAAGCAAACTCTCCTGTAAGAATCCCAGTTTTTCGAACATTAACCGTATCATTGCTCAAGTACTAAGCTCAATTAGTGCTCCTTTGCGGTTTGACGGTACTCTACGAACTGATCTCACCTCCTTCCAGACAAATTTAGTACCATATCCCAGAATTCATTTCCCAGTGGTCACATATGCTCCTTTCCTACCTCCAGAAAAAATGCTTCGTGAGACTGTTACATCATTATACTTGACTAGTCAGTGTTTTCTCCCATCAAGCCAAATGATCAACTGTGATACATATTCAGGTAAGTATATGGCCTGCTGTATTCTCTATCGAGGAGACATTGTTCCAAGTAAAGTGAACAGTGCAATCCAGAAGGTCAAATCTATGCACAATGTGAAGTTTGTGGACTGGTGTCCAACAGGATTTAAGGTTGGAATCAATAACAGCACCCCTCATGCTGTACCTGGAGGTGACTTAGGGAGCACAACCCGGGCTGTGTGTTCGTTAAGTAACACAACAGCAGTGAGAGATGCTTGGGCACGTCTTGACTACAAATTTGATTTGATGTTCCGTAAAAGGGCTTTTTTGCATTGGTACCTTTCAGAGGGAATGACAATGGACCAATTTACTGACACACGGGAGAATTTGGCATGTTTAGAGAAGGATTATGAAGAAGTGGGATTTGATACGAAAAGTGACAGTGATGACGATATTAAAGACGATGAATATTAACTGGATTTCTTTGCCATTGCTTTCTTAATTTGTGATGCATATACTGTACCACCTTGGAGCATTTATCATAGATGGATGCTTAACAGGCATGTTATGGAAATGAGTGTTAATAAGTTCCTTTCTCACTAGGTGCTCAATGAAAATAATTTCACACCCAGATTGGCATTGTTCAAAAAATATCTATTCAGTCTCCTTAGATATACAAAATAATATTTGTTAAACTTGAAATCATTCCACTAAAAAATGTAGGACCTCATCATTTCTATCGATTTTCTTTCTTTGAGTCTTTGAGGAAATCATTCCATGATTTAAATTTCCTGAGTGGAGTAGCATCTGAACTGTAGGACTCTCATAAGAGTGTGTGTGTGTATGCAAGAGTATATGTTATATATTTAAACAACAAAGAAAATAACATTTTGGAAAAAATCCCCTTACTATTTAAGCACTAATTTATATATTAATAACAAAGCACAGAGATGCATGTGCATGTGTTTGTGTTCACACATTTGTATATATTATTTTTTTTATAATCAGGATCACTCCATGCAAAGCCATTAAGACACAAGGAGTTAAGGGTTGTGGAAGAATTAGGAACAAAAACATTAATACTGAATGGGAAGAAGAAAGAGTAATCATGGGGGACAGTGAAATAGCGATTGACATTGCATTTAAAGTTTTGCAGATTAAAGTTGGTTTGAAATCATGGAGCTGGAAGGGAGTTCCATAAGTGAGAAGTGTGAGAAAAGAAACTGTTAGCATAGAACTTATGGCTACGTCTAGCCAGCTCACCTGTAAATTGATGGGATCTTGATGCCAGTCTAGTACTGTGCTTAAATTAAAAAAATCTAGGTACCATAGTGAAGAGTGATATGTAATTGTATAAAAATACAAAATGTGGAACAAAGCCAAAATAGGGAATGGAAAAAAAGGTTGGTCTTATAATTAAACTTAGCCAGCCATAATCACTGACCCAAACATATGACAATATTTGTTATCTAGAGAGACAACCTTATGATGGTAGTAAAGTGCCTGAAGCCATGCTGCCAGATCAGGACTAATAATATTGCTGATTCTTCTTTAGATTTTATGAAGGAGGTTTTGAGCTCATTTTGGACATAAGCTGCAATTTTGACATTGTCAGACTGATCAGGCTTACTATTGAGGCAGGAGTAAATGGTTGTGTTATCAGTGTAGATACTAAATTGAAAGTTGATGCCATTTAAAAAAAGGGTAGGACCAAGGATGTCGCCCTGAGGAACAAATATATATGTGCATATATCTATATCAATATATCTATATGTGTGTGTGTGTGGGGGGGTTAAATGTAAACATATGTATACAAATTCAAACAATAATAAATGAATATGTAATTATAAACTTAACCTCCTACAATTAATACCATAATACTTAAGACACCACCAAATTAGATAAGAAAACAAGATAATGGCCAAGTGAAGACTTATATAAATATTTACCTTACTATTTAAGCATTAAAAAAATTATTTATGTAAAAAATGAAATACAGTTTTCCTAACTTAAGAAAATACTAGATCTCTCAAGAATTAACATGGATTGAAAATATATGGGAAAATTGGAAGTTAAAATGGCTACAACTGAAAGAAAAGAGGGAAAAAGAGAAAAAAGTCAAAAACCAATTAGGAGTGAGCAGCAAGTGAAAAAAATGATAAAAAGGACAAATAACCACAACATTCTATATGTATGCACATATACATATATTTATGGGTAAAAGTGCTGAATATCAAAAACAAAGCATATGTAAATATAAAGGAAGATTCTATTGGCCAGCGTGAGAGCCAACAGCTGACTGACACGAATGTTAAATAGCATGCTAGCATGCAAAAAAAACAACAATAATCTGCATTCGTCACAAGTTTAAAAAAATTTAAATCTGCATGGCACTTTACTCCAATTGGCTCATTCGCTTGCTTAAACTCAACGTTGATTCTGATTCCGCAGAACTGGGTTGGGTGTGAAAAGGTATTTGTTGTTAACATTCTTTTTTCATTTGGTTTTTCCAGTTATGAGTCCTTTTTAAAGCTGATCGTTTTGTATTCATTTTGTTTAGTTCGTTTTTTTAACAGATTTAATGTTTAGTATAGAGCTTAGAAAAATTTGCAGTGTGAGATAGGCAAGAAGTAAGGCATGTAGCAACATCAGCACGGCAAAGGGCACTCCTTTAAAGGCAAGGAAGGGCAAAAATATTTTAAGTCAAGTGATAGCGATTGCTGTATGAGTCGTATGATTTTTTAATCAACGCCGGGTCATGCTGCTATTATATATATAAAAACAGTCTGTTTCATACTTGAATGCAATCTTCAGGCCTGAAGATTGCATTTAAGTATAAAACAGACTGTTACTGCTGGGTGCTGACCTCAATGTCCATGTTTATATTTACATATGTTCTATCCCTGATATTGAGCATTTTAAACTGTAAATATAGCATACCATAAATCTATATTTTTATTATATGTATATATATATATATATATATGTGTGTGTGTGTGTGTGTGTGTGTGTGTGTGGTAAACTCACATTTATAATATGTAACTGTATTCCTTTAGATCTTGTTGATATGGTTAAGAGAGGGCCCATGTCATGAGACTGGAGCAGCCTCTCCATGTTGCAAGGCCAGGGTGATGGTATATGGTGCCCATGTACTACCCAGACCACAGAGCTCCCTCTTAAGTATACTGCCAAGATCCAAAGGAATACAGTTACATACTAAAAATGTGACTTCATTGTTCACGTTTATATTTACATATGCTCTATCCCTGATATTGAGCACTTTAACCCATAGATATAGCATACCTTAAAAGTATATTTTATTATCTATATCTATATATCTATGATGTACACTCCATGATTTTCAATGTATGTCAATCCAACAGTGAACTGAACTGCTAGACTACTTCGCACATATAATCTGATTATAATTGTTAAAGTTTGTACACAATCATCTACACTTTTTGGAAGAATCTATACAAAACTGTTGCACACCGAGTGTCGGGTGATACAAGACCCCTAAACAACTTTTCTCATGTTGTCCTACACTACCTATGGGGCCTCACACATCATCATATGCATATATATAACCAAAAATGTCCTTGCTGTTTTTTACATTGTGTAAATTGATCACTGATATGCAAATGAATGCATCTCATACTGGAAATGTGGTGGGGATGAGGCATTTCTCTTGACCAATGAAGGTGCATTGTGCACACACATCAGTCATAGCTCAAGCAGTGGCTAGGAAACATGGTGATGCCAAGCCAACTTGTTCGGAGTTGTCTGCTTTATGACTTGGGCTTGTTTGAAACTGCAGCAAATCTCAGAATACATCAAGTCTCTGGAGATAATGCTGTGAATGAACACACCGCCAGGAATTGCTTCCAGAAGTTCAAGTCAAGAGACCTGTCCCTTTGTGATGAACCTCATAATGGTTGGCCACAGGTCCTGGATGATGAGGTCTTAAAGGTGGCCATAGAGGAGGAGAGCAGCCAAACCTGTGGTGGCCTTGCTGAATGCTTTCAGGTTTCTGATGTAGACTTCATCTGCAATCTATAGAGATGGTGTCTAAATTGAGCAAATGCATACCCCACACCCTGTTGGTAGCTAACAAGCAACAATGAGTGATAGCCTGTTTTTTGTTGCTTTCTCGACATTGCAATATACTCAGATTTGGTTGAGTGCTCATCAGTGACAAAAAGTGGGTACTGTATGACACTCCCAAGTGTGCTAGACATTGGTTGTCACCACAGGAACCTCTGCCTCACACTAAAAGACCACCTCTATGCCCATGCAAGATCATGCTCTGTATCTGGTGGACAAGTGGTGCACTATGAGCAATGGGCCAAACCATCCCTGCAGATATGTACTTGCAGTAGTTAGAATGTCTGCAATAGGTACTGAAGTAGGAGCAGTATTGGTTAATCTGTTCATCAATGACAATGCCAGGCCTCATGGGGTGTGGGTGGTCATGGATATCATATGGTAACTTGGCTGGGAGATACTGTGCCATCCACTTTACTGAAGTGACAAAAAAAACTATAGATCGCTACCTAATAACATATAGTTCCTCCCTTTACTTGAATAAGGTTGCTAATATGACATGAGGTCTACAAGATACTATAAGATGCTCAATAAAAAAGTGGTAAATTCAGAAAGATGTGAGACAACCATTGAAAACTGATGACAACTGATGTGACTGAAAAATTCAGTAAGAATTTCTGCACATTTCATCAATCCCCATGTCAGATGTTCTTTGAAAACTACGATAACTTGACGCTCAAAATCAGTGAGTTGTTTAGCCATAAGAGAAGGGTAGAATGAAAGACAAAAGTTGTTCGCAAATAACCTTTAAATGACGACTCACAAGATTGAGCAGCAATTAATCAATCATAAAAGAACCAATCAGAGTTAAGTAATACTGTGAGAGTTGAATGATTATTCAAGGTCAATTATTCCTGAAATTGAACACTGATAAAATTGCCATTTTACTGTGTACTCTGATAGATATTAATATAAACAAACATTTTATTGCGAACAAAACAGTGTATTTGCAACCTTGTTATTTCAAATAAGAGCTTTTTTAAGTGGAGTAAAAATTTTAAAAATCATGTACCTGTGTATATGACCCCACTTTTTTTAATTTTCATTCCAGATTTCTCATATTATGCACAATATACAGTAAGACTCCTGTTTGATGAAGCTATGAAAACTACATGGGATGCAGTGTATATGATAGTTTGAGTGGCATCAGTATTGAATTGGAATGTGATCTGATGCAATGTTTACTTTCCTTGAATGGTTAACATTTTTGTCAGTTGCCAACAGTGCCAATTTTGCATTACTTGTGAGCACCAGCAGATTTCACATGCTGTCAATGTTTGTCCAGTAATCATATATTCCTTGTACTACTATTGCCAAGGAAAACTTAGAGCAATTGCCACCTTGCAAATAGAGTGCTGCCTTTCTGGCCT